TCACCTTCTCCTTGCACAACCAGCCACTGACACCTCACRCTCCAAAATTCGTCAGAGTAAGTGGAAATTTTCCCAAACCTGGACTGCAGCCGGAGCAATGCCAGCATGAGATCCCYGCTGGTCACTGCCCCATCTCCAAACTGGAGCATCTGCCCCAAGAGGGTGGTCTGAGGACACTTCCCTGCTCTAATTCCAAAGGAGAATGCACAGCAATGCGCGTTCGGAGCCCCTCAGCTCGAGGTGTATCCTGCACACCTGCCTTTCTCCCAGCTGGATGTACAGAAGGATCAATCCAGAACATGGAGAAATATTCCACAGCAGACAGCCAGAAGGCTGGAATCACTCCGTGCTTATCTCCTGCCCGGGGCTTACACCACTCCCATCCTCCTTCCCCAGCCCATCCCTCTGGTTTACATGGGATTAGCCCCATTTTACGGGCAAGGCAAGAAGAACAATGCCTCATCCATYGAGGCCGGGTCCCAACGGGCCCCACAGCGAGAGAGGACAGCCCCGGCCTCTTGTCASTGCATTAGGAGACACCAGGCACAGCGACAGGTGGGAATGTCCCCAGACAGGGCCCACACAGGGGAGTTCAAGGTCTCCCCTTGGACCCACCCCATTGCTGCCCACTCCATCCCCAAATGGGGCTCCCGGCCTCGGGAACCAACGGGAATAAACGCCTGCTAAAGCAGCACTTGGGCCCGACCGAGGCAAGGTGCTAACTGGATTAACCTCAGAAAGAGGCTCCAAGATGACTCTGGCTTTGATCGACACAAGGCTGTGGTTGTACTTTACATGCCCCTAAAAACCCGAGCAGCCCCTAGTGCAGAGAATCCCGCTTCCCTAATGYTCAAATCCAGCTCTGTGCCGGGGCGGGAGCCGGCAGATCCGGGGGAACCACTTCCCAGAGCCACGGGGTACCCAGGGGCAGCTGATCCCCTCCCGAATCGGCGCGGTGACGGGGGTGGAACCCCGGGGCTGGGGACCCGCACACCTCAGGGGTTCGGGAATTGGGGAATTGTGAGCGGCCAGGCTGGACACCTGCCAGCGCCCCCAAAGCCGGGAGCGTGACCCGAGAGCAGGGATCCTCCTTCGGGGGGGCACAGGGGCTGAGCTCCGGTGCCCCAAAACAGCGCGGTGAAGGCGTTCCCGGGGACAGCGGGGACAGGCCGGGTGCGGGACAGCCAACGAGTCCCCGGGGAGCTCCCTGCGGCGGCCACGGCCGCTCCCCGGCCCCGGGCGGTTTCCAGCCGCGGGGACGAGCCCCGCTCCGGTGCGTTCACCCCGCACTGCTCCACAGGGGCGGCCCCGGCCCGCGGGACACCTCTCCCCGCCAGCCCCGCACCGCCGCTCCCGCAGCCCCCGGCGCCGGAGAAAGTCCCGGTACCGGCGGGGCCGCGGGCACGGCAGCCGGGGCAGGAGGAAGCGGCGCTCCCGTGCAGAGGCACCGCGGCCATCGGGCAGGGACGGCCGTGCGGAACGGCGGAGAGGGACGGGCCGGGCAGGGGTCGGTGCCCGCCGGGGCGCAGGGCAGGAGGGTTCGCGAGGCGGTGAGGGGACACTGGGGCACGGCCCGAGCCGCGTGTGGGGGGAGCCGCGGGGGCAGCGGCGGGGCGGGGGCGGCCGCGGCCGGGCCCCGAGGAAGGGCGCGAGGGAGCGGCGGGCCGGG